GTCTACTAAAAAATCAAAGGGCAAATCTTAAGCTATGTGAATTCTATATAAAAATTTATAGTAAAGATGAAAGAAAGGAAATTTAAATTTTAAATTTTAAAAAGAAAGGAAAACAAGATGAATGCAAGGACAGGAAAGGAAATGCATCAGAAGCCATCGGGGCTGACTGTGTGCCATGGCAGGTGCCGTGTGGTGCGTGCAGAGCGCTCCTGCAGTTAATACAAACCCCTTGATCTGTGCCAGGAGTAGTAGCCTCCTCCAGGGGCTCTGCAGAAGCACAATTTCTGCTGGGGCTGACACTTAGAAGACATAATTCCTGTAATCCAGACCTGTTTATCAGTTCAGAAAAGTCTGGATAGAATATAAGGCTGATAGTGATGTCCAGAACAGTCACCATTTTCAGAACTTCCCATGTGCTCCATTGTGAGGCATTGTGCGACATACTTTTACATGTTCATTTCATTTGTTTTTTTCATTGAATGCTTGTTGAGCACTTGCCCATTTTCCTTCCTTGAAAAATGCAGGAATTGAACTTACCATTGAATGTAATTGAAGAATAAGGTCTATGTTCCTACTAGACCTTGTTGCTACTTGAAAAGAAATGTAAGATAATGTCTCTACCCTTTTAAAGAGAGAACAATTCCATTTTAAGAATTCATTTTCTGCTATTTTGAGTTGCATGTTTTTGCACTTTGCTGTTTACTGGTCAAAAACTTTATTAAGATTCGGAAAGAAGACTATTATTTCATTATGAATGAGCCAAATATGTTTATAATTTCATCTACATAGTAAATATAGCATTGGCATGAGAATAAAAGTCATTAAGTATTCTTGCATGTTAAATGTTCCTGTAAAAAAAAAAAAAAGTGATGTTAGCTGTTAAGTGAATTAAAAAAAAGTTTACTTGATTCAAAACACTCTACACATTAAATTTTTACTTAAAACTATAAAAGAGCAAAAAGCTGAAATACCCGTCAATAATATAATGAAATCCCAGTTGGTTTTGAGAGCAGAAGTCAGCCAAAATGAACAAATGAGTCCTGTAATGGCGTACCACAGGGTAAAAAGTTAGTCCTATCAAATGAGGAGGGGAGAGGAAATCACAGATCTAGAGGAAAAGGTCATATTAGTTTAGGACTGAATTAAAGCGATCCACTAATAGCAATTTCCCTTTATCTGACAGCAGCTGTAGAAAGTTGTATCAAATCCATTAAAATGTACAAAACCTTTCCTGAAATAATAATAATAAATTACAATAAATGCGAAGTACTCCACAGCCTGTATTATATCTGTTTTTTTCCAAGTGAGCATGTTTTCTTGAGTGTCCTTTTAGCTAAGTTCCAAGTAAAAACAGGTCCTTGGAAATGCAGCAATGTGGGAGATGGAGGTGGAATGAGATAGGTATGATACAGGTATTACTGCACTTAGAATTTCTAAGAATCTCTGAAGGTTGGTATAGATAAAGGTTGCAAACAGCTTTGAAATCTGTAGACATTATCTCTACAGGTGCTAATGGCTGCCTGGAGTTCTAAGCTCTTGAGGATGATTGAGATATGATCTTAAGATCTTAAAGGACAGAGTAATGTTCTGTGAATTCTAGATCTTTGTCATGGACAAAGAACTCAAGTGGTACTCCTTTGTGATTCCTGATTCCTTTGTTCCTTGAGAGATATGCTACAATTAAACCAATGGCTTAAAAAAACCGGCAATTCAGTTCTATGTAACTATAGTAAATAGAAACAGACCTCACTCCTTATAACTATCACTCTTCTCACAAGTGAGATGGAATATGAAACTTTTCCATAAAGTGATCTTCATTTCTCTCCAAGAAATTGAAATAGAAAGTTCTACTGTGATGAAATGTATATGGCACACCCATATCATTTAGGTGTCAACATATGCTTCTTTTAATTAGCCAGGATTATTGGAGTAATCAACTCCATTTCACTCTGAGCATACTCACATTTTAATTATTGGTTGCTTGCTATAATGTTAAGAGAGAGAAATATATATATATATATATATATATTGGTTGACAATTATTAATAACAATTATTGGTTGACATTTAAGGCATATCAAAGCCAAAGTTTGTTATAATGATGTTCTTTCTTGGTTCTGGGCACTAAGTCATCATGCATGATTGATTTTTGCTTACCTTCGTCTTCTCTCATACTTAAATATTTTCTGCTTGGGCAGCTTTTCAGAATAAGATTAAGATATGAGTAAAATGAAACAAACAGTACCAGTGAGATAGACAAAACACATAAAGCCTCTGCAGACTCATTCTGAATTACCACTTGTTCCCTTTCAATTCTTGGCATCAAATTTCCACTTAAGGCATATAGCTCAGTCAGAAGGGCAGAGCAATGCTAACAACAAACAGCAAGAAAAATAAACAGTGCTAATTTGCACATGGAATATAGGAAGAAAGAAAAAATTGATATCAGGGAGGGTTAGGGACTTGTTTTTTCTCAGAGAAACAGGAAATACCTGTTTTTCTTCTGTGAAAGTAGAAGGACATTCTCTAGACTAAAAGGAGAGATGCTTTCTTGAGATGGCTCTTCTCTGGTCCCCATAATTTTGCATATAATGGGAATTGGAGTTGCATGGAACGTTTTAGGAAGCTTTCCACACAGATTCGTGAAGTGCCAATGCAGACAAAAAAATCAGCATTAAGTGATATTCACAGAAGACTCAGTTTTCCAACTAATGTTCTACAAATAGTGTCCTAGGTACTCAAATTTGAATGTAATGTTAGCTAGAAGTTAAAAATTCTTGTTTGAGCAGAACTAAAAGAACCAGCTTTCCTAAGTATGATGAGGAAGGAAGGGGCTGGTTTGGAGAGCAAGGATCTTGGTGTAATAAAGTACATATGTATGACCTGTCTCTGTATATTTTTCCTTAGAATTATATGTATATATGTATGTATACATATTCTGAAATAAATAGCAAATTGAGTATTGAATTGGGGAAAACATGGTACACTTCCTGTTTTTCTTCTCACCAGCTAAGTAACCATGAGAGAGCCATTCTTTCGGCATCAAATTAGGAGAGTAGTTTGATTATCCCGATCCACTTGCAGTGGGTCCTGTGACAGAATTAAGGTTCTTGTTGATGGCATCCATAAACTCCTCAGAGCATGGAACAGTGTGGGCAGGAATGGGCTAACAGGACCTTTAAAACTTAAATACTGAAGCAAAATGTCTATTCGATTTAGGACTCTCCCACTCCCTCCCCGCCCCTCGCCCCTTAATTTTAGAAACATAAAATCCTGTACTTTGTGCCAGGCACTTATCTCAGTTCTTTAAGTATGCAGCATTAACTCATTTAATCCAGTACAACAACCTATAAGGGAATTACTATACTTCTCCCCCATTTAATGGCTGGGAAACTGAGGCACTAAGGAGATAAAGGAAATTACTGAAAGTCAGAAAGCTATTTAATGGGGGAGGTGGAATTTCAGCCCAGTCTGGTTCTAGAATCTGTACTTGTACCCGATATGCTTTGCTTTCTTTGTATTTATCCATTTAAAATGAGGTTAGCTGCGTAAGATGTAAACTGAGAGGGGTGGAAAGGGTTAATGCTAAAGCACCTCCGCGAGCTGAGAAACAAAACAAAGTAGCGAGTGAATGAATGTCGGTTAGAGCCACAGTAAGAAATTCAGTGGGCCTCCTGTTTCTTTAAACTTTGGCTTTCGCTCGGGCTGACACTTTGCAAAGCAGCGGTGGCGACGGGACCACGCTGCCGCGCGCTGTCTTCCACCACCCACTGGGGTCCGAAAGGGGTATCGCGGGGTCAGTAACCAAACCAGCTCCGGGTTGCTTTCTTCACACCCCAACCACTGCCACACGCGCTCTCCCGCGAATGGCGAACTGTAATTAACCCTTGAGCGCCCAGGAAGAGCCCGCTGGCGGGCCGCGATCCCCCGCAGTTTGGCGCGAAGGTGGCTCGGGGGCCAGGTGGGTGCGGGCGCCGCCGGCGGGGCTGCCAAGGGCGTGAGCCAGGTGCCGGGATGGCGCCCCCGGGGCGCGGAGGTGCTGCCCGACGCTCCCCTCCCGGCTCGCCTTTCTGGCCGCCTCTCCCCGCGCTCCGGGCCGCCGGCTGCCGGGGACGCGCCGGGCTGGCCTTGCCCTCTCGGCTCCCCTTGCAATCCTCCCCGGGTTTCATCTCTCGGCGACTCCTCTGCCAGCCATTGGACAGGTCGGTGCTAGCTGCGGGTTTCGGGGAGGAAGGTGGTAAAAGGCTGGAGGAGCGAGGGGGAGGGAGGAGGGAGGAGGGAGGAGGGTGCAGCAGCCGATCTGGCAAATTGCGAGCTGCCTTCCCTCCCCAAAGTGTGGAGCAGGAGCGCGGGGGAGCGCGGCGGCGGCGGCGCCTCCTCCGCCACCAAACTCCGGGGCTCGGCTGGGTTTGGGGCCACCTCCTCCGTAACCAGCAGGAGCCTCTCCCAGTAGGTTTCAGCCTGACTTTTTTTCTTAACCATTTCTTCTTCCTCTTCCCTGTTTTTTTTGTCCCCCCCCCACCCCCCGCCCGCCTGGCTTTGGATCTCAGTGCTGCAGCCTGAGCGTTCCGAGGGCTCAGCTCTTTGGGGCTGCCCAGCCCTCCGGTTGCGAAAAGGACGCGCGCCCGGCGTCGGGCGAAGAAAAGAAGAAAAACTTGTCGGAGGGGTTTCGCCAGTCCACAGTAAGCCCCTTTCCGCAATCCCAAGCCTCCCGTGAGGGACATCGCAAGACGGGAAAGTTGCTCCCGAGCCGACAGCCCTCTCGGTTTTGGAGGAGGCGCCCGCGCCGGCTGGGGAATTATATCTGTTTTGAACCCAGTGGAGCGCATCGCAGGGGCTCGGAAGTCACCGTCTG